CAAAATTGCTTTTTTCAAAATTAGCCGTAATTGACGACGGATATCTCGGAAACTAAGTGAGACAGCGAAAAACGTATATAATCAATCATATTGAAAATTTTATCAGTTTTCATTTGGTATAGAACATCTTTGACGATGCGATGAATAGTTTTCCAGAAATGAGCGAAAACCTAAAAAAAATTACCTATCTGTCTCACCCTCCCCCCCCCTTCCCACATTTTTCTCACCATTTAGGAGTGGGGGCTTTTAGTTCGTTTACCTCCTTACTAGTCCAAAAATTAAAAAATAGTCAATAATTATGTCGCCGCCATTTCCTTCTATACCCACTTTTCTAGCATTTATTGACTGGACTATTAGTGTCAAACCTTAAAACTACACGCAGTCAGGTCCGAATCGAATGACGTTAAAACGTTTTAACATACTTCTCTAATTGCACATTTTTGAAAAATATTTTATGATACTGAGAGCTTAAATTTAGTTTGATAAAACAGTGCTTCTAAAACCTACATTTTAATTATTTAGATGTAAACCAAAATAATAAAAATGTAGGTACCGATAAAATACCGAAAATTGCTTGCAGTCTCTATGTAAAAATTTTGTATGAAAATGATGATACGAGTATAAATTATTAGATGCATAGATAGAAAGAATGTTTCTTGTTAATCTAAATTATGAATTCAAATTGTTAATCAAAATAACGTAATAAAGACCTTACAAATATTTAAAACAATAAATACAAATTTTCTTTGTAAATCTCTATTTTTTTAAACATATACGACATGGACTATTGTCCGTCTGTCGTGTCATATAAATTATTAGCATTCTGTCATTGTGTTTTTAAATCCAATACTTTGGAAACAACAAATAAATTGAGGACTTAGAGACAAACAAACGTAGCTACATTTTTTCTCCTTTATTCTATGTAACTACATTTTGGAAGACCGCCAACTTGCTGTCACAATGATGCATGTCTATACATTTTTTATTCCAAGTTTGAAACTAATTTATCCAACATAATAAAAATATTTGTTACTGACAAAAAATGTAATTCCTCTTTGCAATACCAAAAGTTAGGATATCCGCAGTTACATTCTTGTGTCTCTGAGCCTTCAAAATGATCCGTTATTAGATTTGTAATTTATGTACAAATTAAATAAATGCTAAACAGTTGAATATATTTTATTTGTTTCTTTAATAGCTCCTAATAACTTATTTATAATTGTTAATGAATTGAGACAATGGTCTCATATTCAATAGCATTGTTTTATCCCATATTATTGTAAAATGTACATTGTGCAATGCGCTTACTTCCGTAAATATTGGATACGGAATAGATAGGTAAATAAAAAAAAAACTACTTGATGACCGAAATATATTTACATAATATGAATGCAGAATGAATTAAATCTGATTTGTTGATATTTTCTTTATTTATTTATTTTTTGTATCTGCTGGAATAGCCCGTGGTACAGACCCCTTTTTATCGAATCATTAACGCCCGCCTGAAACTTCTTGAATTGCTTCATCTCATCGTAACCTACAAATATTTTATTTATGAAAACTCATGGAATTGGGACGTTTCCGATCCGTCTATTTAATTAGATTCTAAAAACTCGTAAATACTCAATTGCTTTCCACTTGGATCGTAAGATAATTTGAACTCAAAATCGAGAACAAAGGTTGAGGTAACTTTCCAAATTTTGTTTTAATTAAAGCAAACAAATCTAATGAGTTCTAAATAGGCAACATTCAACTTAGTGGTAACATTCGAGTTATTTATGTGGTGGAGTGTATTTTGATTAATTGGTAGGTTACATGAATAGTACAAATCGGCTTACTCTTTCTATGCTGACATAGACATCATACTACCTGAGGTCCTCAAGTCTGCTAGTTCTTGCCTCCTATATAACCTTTTATTATGAAATAATGGGAGTTTAGGTCAAGCCAAACGGCATTAGTATTTTTGTAGACCAACTTGTTCTAAATTTTGTAGTCAAATAATCTTACCATTCAAGTGAAAAGCAAATGACTATTTAATAGTTTTTAGTACCTAATTAAATAGACGAAGTTTGACAATCTCCAAATTGAAAACGCGCCAATTCCAAGAGTTTTCGTAAATAAAATAGTTGTAGGTTACGATGAGATGAAGCTATTCACGAAGTTCTAGGCAGACGTTAATAATTTGATAAAAATGGGTCTATACCACAGAGAAGAACTTCCTATATCAAATATCGCTGGCTGATTTAACCTGATTATGACCTCGTATCATATAGTATCATTATTATTTCAAGCTCGCACTTGTTAGTATAGTTGATAATCAATTGAAAACCTGACAAAATAACGTCTTGTAAAACGATTCTTGAGATCGTCAATACCCATTAGTACAACCTTGGCCATTCATAAAAACAGAAATCGTCACTCATAAATCATTCAATTAATCGAAAAGTTTTTAGTTCGAAATTCAATTAGTTCTGTTTTCTCTCTAGTCCTGATTTTCCCGAAAGGAACTCAATCGTGATTAGGTTAAGTCTAGACTAATTCTTCTCGTGCCACCTAATTCACATGTTTGTGATTTCCACAAAATTTCGGAAAACAAAATTTTGCCCTACAATTATCTTCTTACAATTTTATCACTTAGCGTTAAGTAATATTTTGTTCCATTAACTACATAGCATGATGTGAAATCATAATAATAGATTTTTAAATTATTATCGAGGGTATCATTTGCAAAAATAAGGAGCGTTATCTCTATAGGGAACCTGAAACTACATGCTTTATTTTTAGATCAGCTATTTGATTTATATAACTTTAATTGCACCACACCATTTAAACTACATTTTTAACATTTGAGGTAGTATTAGAGTACCGACCGGGTTTATCACTAAAAGATCTAACATGTAGACAAAATAAAAGAATTATTCTCAATGAATTCGACTAATGTTTCTCCCTTTTTATTTTCAATAATATCCAAGCTACGTCGAATATGGAATAAATTAGAACCATTAAAAGCCTCAAAATCAGCTACCCTAGAATTATAATCCTCAAGACACAAAAACAAATTATAAGAATATTTAGTTTGTAAATTAATAAGAGTAGGCTCAAATAACTCAAAAACAAGACCTATATTCAGAGACGGCTTAAAATAGATTAAAATTATGATAAATACATTAATTTCATGAGTTTCATTAACATGGGCACAGATCCAATATTCACTTATATCTAAGAAGTTGGTTTATCATAGTGTAAACATTCGTATTATAAAATATAATCAGACCTCCACTGCCTTTTCCTCGACTCTTCTCCCTAATGGCATCGGATGCAATAAAACTGAAATCTGAGATCGCTGGGGGTGCCGCCGCTGGTCTTTTGAGTAAGTAACAGTCAAATTATAGTTGATGAATTAAAGTGTCCATTGGTTTTACTGAAGTTCTTGTATCCATCTACGTTCCAGAAAAAAATTGTGCTTTGGTTTTGACATTAGAAACGGTTTCGGTTCTAGATTGTTTCGCCCGAGGTTGGGGTCATGATATAAGTTGTTTACATTTAGATTTTTTATTTCGAGTTGTGCGTGGGTTGGTTGAGTTTTCGTGAGATGACGGCAAAGAACGCTTCTTCTCATTTATATCTTCATTTTTAATAAACTCTTCAGAATCGGTATCATTAGATTGATCGTTTGTGTTTTTCAATAAAAATAAGTCCGATTCACTTTGGATGGGTATCTTGGTAGAGCGTTCCAGATACCTAACACGTATTTTACCATTTCTGTGCCATAAGAATTTAAAATGACCTTCTCTATGTAGTGACCTTGCTTCAGCAAAAAAAATCCGGTTTTCATTTGTCAGAGATTCGTTGATAAATATTTTGTAATATCTTTCTTGATAAGATTCAGGAAGGCCCAATGATTTTAGATTAAGCTTATCTCTGTTTGCTCTTGCCTGTGACAAAAATAATAAGCATTTCAGCTAGAGATGAATGAAACGACAAGCCTGTTTAAAAGCCATATAGAGAAACTTGATAAACAAAAACTCATTACCCCTGCTAGCTACAGCCCAAAGTATCACTATATGTATGTATATGTATACAGCGAGTGTATATAAGCATCAGCCTTATCTCGTATTAAATGCCCCGTTATAAGCAGCACCTACCCACTGAGAACCCAAACCGTCACCAATATTCGTTAGAAATATTAAAAAATTTCAGTTGATGTGTCATCAATTGAATAATCTAGTGGGCTCAGAAAAATATTGTAACGCCTTTTGTCCTATATAACCATATTATTTTGAAATTTGTGGGGTGTAGGTCAGGCCAAACGGCTCAATATTTTTGAAGGTCGTCTTTTTTCTCACTTTTGTGATCAAATTATCTTACGATTCAAGTAGAAGTCGAAGGTGTATTTACGAGTTTTTAGTACCTAATTAAATAGACAAAGTTTTGCCCCCATCCAGATTGAAAACGCCCCGATTCCAAGAGTTTTCGTAAATAAAATAGTTGTAGGTTACGATAAGATGAAACTATTTATGAAGTTTCAGGCGGGTGTTAATGATTCGATAAAAAGGGGACTGTACCACGGACTACATATCATGTAACGAAATGTAATATTATTCAGCAAAAAAAAAAAAAAAAAATGTGAACCAGGATTAGCAGTTCTTAAATTTCCGATAAAAGCTCATCACGATAATTTGCACCTTGATGGTACAATTCGTTTCTTTTGTTCGACTTTAGGATAGGATAAGAAAACGTTTAGTTTTTTTGTTTTTTTAATATGCGAAATTCGATTGAATATAATTACAAATAACATCATAAATATTTCAAACTTATTTCAGGATAACATTCTAAATAAACAGCATCTAACGTATTACATATACTTCTTTTACTAAAAACCTTGGATGACTCTAGATAGAAAAACAAATACAAATGTTCACATCAATTAACTCTAATAACTATGCATACATTAATACAGACTTTCCAGATAACCCGAATGCACTGAATTACATAGTAACGTTCTTTGACCTTGCATGGGTTCATCTGGTTGTAAGGGAGGGAGTTCGATGCCGATGTTCGGGGACGATTCGCTTGTATTCTTACAACTACCCAGCACACAACAACGTATGCAATTGCTCTAATCAATTTTTACAGTAACTATATACTACTTTTTCCAAGATAAGTGTAAGTACAGTTTGTATAATTTCTAATTAGCATGCTTTTATCAATGTTTAACTGTCCTTATCTTTTCTGTACATTTCGTCATGCAAGTGTCTACTTCGAACGTGAATGCTTTTCGAAATATTTTTAATTTTATCAGTAATTGATACGCTGCATATTTCGTTTAAAATTAATGATAAATTTAAATATTTACTGGGACTCTTACCTATGGAGTTATTTAGCATTTTATTTTTTACAAAACCTTTTGGTGATTGTAGAGTTAGTTATAACCAGAGCCTGGATTTTTATGCAATTGCATATTTTATCTGCATGCAGTTTTTAAATCTAATATCTATCCGAATCAGTCCCCAGATGCAATTAGTCAAATTTTATATTACATATATAATAATAAATGCATATAATTCCATACTCGGATGGTTTGAACTAACGAAAAAAAATGGGAAATAATAATTTAATATTAGAGATTATTTAGTAGTTATTTTACTTCTGTTTATTTTATATTTTCTGTAAATATGGTATGAATGTGTTCTTACCTCACTATAAGCGTTGTCCAGAAAGAATCATATATAACTCAATAAATACATAGAAAATAAAAAATATTAAAGACGAAAATACATTCTAAAATCGTAGGCCATGTTCAATCAGCAAATCAACAAAACTTGGCTTTTCATTTCCACTAATTTTATTTTTTAAACATTAAATTTATTTTTAATTGTTTGCTTTCTTTACAAATGTGAGTTTTACAAATATTTTTATATTCCAGCTGAAATAGTTTTGTTCTGATTAAAGAAAAGTATTGATCTCGTTAATTCTGAAAAAACGAAAAGTTTAGTTTTTCTTATTTCTCTCATGGAGTTCTTGTAACATCGATTTTACGAGTGAAAATATATTCTTCGACGAAGAAAAATAGCAGATGGCAATAAATTATGAAATTATACTAATAAATAATAACGAAACAATTAGTTTTATGCTTTTCTGTCAAACATTTAATGTTTACATACGACGTTTTGCACTAACAGTAGTGATATTCATGTTCAGTACGCACTCGATTTTTTTTTTCAAATATGTAATCAGCATATGAGGAACTTTTTTGCATTTTAGTATTAGATGATGAACAAAACTCGATGAAAAAAACAAAAGAGATTGCTTCCGAAAAGGGATTCTACCAAAGATTTTATTCACATACGAAAAACTTTAGATCTTGTAATATATATATATTACATAAAAATATATATTTTTTAGCAAATGTAAACGGCGAGGAAGCTATACTGACCTTCCTTGACAGACGTTTTTTTGTTTACATTCATTCACATTTTTATTATTATCAATTTATTATCCTTTTGATGTGCAATCACCTATTGCTGTTATTAATTGTTACTAATAGAAAGTTTGCATTGTTTTGATATATACCTAATTTTTAGAAGTATCTCATCCTGCGTTTTTAGCCATTATATTATATTATTATTTCCCGTTCCTTTCAGATTATTTTTTAATTATTTTGATATATCCAAAAAAACTAATTTTTATTTAATCTTAAATCCTTTCTCTAATTTCTTTTTTAGTTGAATAAATTTTGTAGGCACTCTTTTTTAGCTGGTATATTCTGGTATTAAATATTTATTTTGTATTTTATCACTGCATATTTTACAGTTTTCTATTGCATAATATATGGCATATAATTAGGGATTTTACAGCATAAAATTCCGGACTTTTTAATAGTTTTGTTTTTAAGATGTTAACGGTATACATTTCCCTTTTAAAAGCGACAAATTGGTACAAATACATAAATTGTAATAAATATAAATACATAATAAATAAATGATGTTCAGTTACAGTAAAATACTGCTTAGCCGAATCTGACGTATCCGGTTTACTCCAGTACCCTTTGCCCCTTAGTTATTTTAATATTTAAACCTTTTTTTGCTTTTTTTAAAGCATATTCAAGGTTTCTAAAGAATCCTTAGACATTATATAAAGGACTTGCTAATTTATTACTAATTAAACGGAGAATTACTATCGAGAGAAAAAAGGGAAGATAATAACAAATAAGCTTTTGATTTCGTATTTTAAAAAAAGAAAAAACTATTAAGTTTTAAAGCTGTTATCGTTTATAAATATGCTTACATTCAGGAGTGCCCACAATTTCATGGCGCAAATAAAGCCATTAAAATTTTCGAGGGGGAAATTTTGACAGAGTTTTGAATTTTTTAGGAAAGCACATTTCGACAAAATTTTGAATTTTCGAAATAGAAAGTTTCAAACCAGAGGACAAGGGAGAAACATTGAACAGACCGCAAATAGTGTAATTGTATATGATCTACAAGTTTTTAAATTCTACCTTCGCTTGCAGTGTTTTTAAGAAGGGAAGGATATTAAAATAGCTTGAAATGGAGGGGAGGGAGAAGGAGATGGTTCGTGAGCCTTAGAACTTGGCAGGAGGGTTGGGCAATCTTGCTTGCATATTTATTAAATCTTAATACAAATGGAAAATGGTTTACTTACCTGTCTGTGTACAAACCTCAAATTTATAGTATTGGTGCAATTATTTTTATTTTCGGATCACACTATCTCTTGATTAGAATTTTCAGCTATCTGAAACAGGTCTGTGGGCATGTTATTTCGGACTAACGGTTCTTTCTAAAACATTACAACTATTACACAGTGCAACTTATTTGGTTTTATTTTGGAGTAAAACTGTCAATTCATGGGTGAAAGCCATTCTCATTGGGTCTAAGCATTTTCTTAATTCTCTGTCTTATCATCCTCTTCCCGGCTAGGGATGTGGCGGCCCCATCGCTCGGCCATTGTGCCGCAGATAGCCACTGTTACTCCAGGTTGGATGAACAGTACACTAACACACACATGCATTACACTACCATCAGCACACTACACTCACCCTAACATTAAAGACTAAGGTCACTCATAGGTCACACACACATCCTAAGATCACCATTCCTATGTAGTCGCTCCGGATGGGGGTACAAGTCAGGAGGCACTGAGGAGGCAGCCCCTTTACCTGACTCGGGGGCAATGGGCTGGTAACCAATTCTTCTTAAATTTCTCTTATTACGGTTACGTCACAGATGAAATACCGGACTGATTAACTTGGCAACGGACACTGGCGAGAAAAAGGATTCAAGATTGGATTGTGGAATGTTAAAAGTTTGTTCACAGCAGGAGCGAGTCGAAATCTTGAGATGGCAGTAAACAGGTACAGAATTGACATTTTGGCTTTACAAGAAATACGATGGAGAGAATCAGACTTCATTATGCTTAAGGATTATATCCTGATTAACAGTGGAGATAGGTTGAATAGATCGGGAACTGGGTTTATGATAAAAAAGAAATGGAAAGTAAGTGCCGAGATATATGAAAACGCCAGTAACAGAACGTGTTATCTAAGAATTAATAACGGACGGTTTTGCAACATATTCGATTTCAGTACACGCTCCAACTGAAGACAGTGAGGAATTAATCAAAGATAATTTGTATGGTATGTTGGAAAGAATTTATGATAGTCAACCAAAATACGATGCCAAACTGGTCTTCGGATATTTAAATGCAATATCTGCAAACTCAAGAATGAAGAATTTAGACGGGGGGTGAAAACAACGACAAGAAACTCTCTGAATGTTGCGGAGGAACAGATGCCAGCACCAGATGGGCATAACTGCAAACAATAAGAAGATCATCAGCAAAAACCAGGAAGAGCAGAGTGGTTTGATGAGAACTGGATCAGATTAAAGCAAGTAAGAAATAAAGCCAGGATTAACTATCCGAAGAAGAAGAGAAAGGCTTACTGTATTTATAGCAACGAGAGGAAAGCGGCTAGTAGTCTCTGGCGACGTAAAAGAAGAGAGCACGAAAGAGAGAAATACGAGCTCTTAAAACAGAAACATAAAAATAAGGACGTACGAGGTTTCTTTGGGGGAGTACGACACATCAGGCAGGGATGAAACACGACATGTTTTCATGAAGGACGAGAATGGTGATCTTCTGGCTGGCAGAGGGGATGTTATCAGTAGGTGGATGAGACATTTCCAGGGACTACTGAACAAGGAAGAAGAACTGTATATTTAAAATAGCTTTTTATTTTTATTTTAATGTTACACAACTCTGTAACCTAATTATTATTTGTCAGTCATTATGTGCCAGACAAATCGATATTATAATGTAATTATCATTGTACATCTTTGTTATTCTTAGGAAACTAAAAGTCCTAGACTAAAATTTGTTTTTGTCTTCTTAAATAATTCTTGTCAGGTAGGAGCCAATAGAAAAAAACAAAACAAAACAAAAATATTGTGTAGGTTTGACCTATTATTCATACAATAATATTGGTATTCAATCTAATTTATAAGTCAATTTTATATATCACATATAACCATCAGAACATAAAAAAAAATCTTTATGATTTTGAAGATTGGAATTTACTGACTTTTTATCTGACTTATATCTAGAAATATGACCTCTAAATAATAATTTTAAAAAATGCGAATACTCCATTATGTAAGAAATGTGTCACATGACGGTTCACAAGTGTTTTTTTTTAATCTTCTCAACCGAAGATATAACTTTTTTTCTTTAGATTTTAAAATTGAATAATTTTCCTTACCGATTGTATGGGGGCTGAGTTCACGGTTACGGAAGATTCATTATCCAGTTATCTTATCGAAAGGAATAATTTCTTCTAATTATTTGGCTTTTTTTAAATTTTACATATCTTTTTCTTTCCACTTTTATTAGCTGAAATACATTCGTTAGTATTTAAAAAGAGAAAATATTATGATTGCTTAAGTGTATGTATAGCTCGTGTCACTAGCAGAAACAATTGTATATTTAAAATTTATTTAAAACATAATACATTTTTTATTGTTTTACTGGCTATTAATACAGTCTGCCACACTGAAGAGCATTGGTACTAGGACTATAGTAATAATACAATTAAATATCCGAACTCATTGGTCCATTCATGTTAATGCTCGAAATATTCAAACTAGGTG